GAAGTGCTTCAGTGAAAATCTGCAGTAAAAATCTGAAGCCAAGTGGGTGTCTAGGGGAAGACCATTCTGGGCATAGGGAACACTGAGAGCAAAGGGCCTGAGTAAATAAAGGTATACATAAATAAAAGGTATACAAACTGTTAAGTAAGATCTAAAACTGCCTGTTCACAGATGACACAATCACCTATGTAGAAAATTTAAAAAAATTTAAAGAAAAACCTCCTGAAATATTAAGCAATTACAGCAAGTGTGCAAGATTCAAGATATGCAAAAGTCAATTACTTTCTTATATATCAACAATGGAAAAGTAGATTTTGAAATTGAAAACAAAATATCATTTACATTAGCATACAAAAACTGAAATAGTTGAGTATAAAGCTAACAAAATAGGTGGAAGAGATGCATGAGCAAAACTACAAAACTCTGATGAATGAAATGAAGGAAGTTAATCAGTGGAGAAATATTTTATGTTCATTGATAGGAAGACTCAATATTGTCAAGATGTCAGTTCTTTCCAGCTTGATCCATGACTCAATGCAGTCCCAACAAAAATTCCAGCAAGTTATTTTGTGTCTATCAAGGAACTGATTCTAAAATTTATATGGAGAGGCAGAAGACACAGAATGGCCAATACAATACTGAAGAAGGACAAAGCTGGAAGAAGGTAAAATAAAAGAGAAAAGCTAAATGAAAACAACCCATAACCTAATACTCACACTTTGTAGAAAAAAATAACTCAGAGTGAGTCACAGATTTAAATATAAAATGTAAAACTGTAAAACTTTTAGAAAAAATAAGAGAAAACCTTTAAGTTCCGGGGATAGGCAGAGAGCTCTTAAACCTGATGTCAAAAGCATTATCCATAAAAAGAAGAACTAATAAAATGGATCTCATCTAAATTTAAAACATTTGCTCTGCCAAAAACCTTCTTAAAAGAAAAGAAAAGAATAAGCTATGGACTGAGAAAATATTTGTAAGCCACGTATCCAAAAAAAGACTGGGACCTAGAATATACAAAGAAGTAAAAAAACCTCAACAATAAGATTAGCAGTCCAAAGAGTAAATGGGCAAAAGTCATACACAGACATTTTATTGAAGGGGATATACAGATGACAAATAAGCACATAAAAAGATGTTCAACATTACCATTAGCCAAATGCAGATTAAAGCTGCAGTAGAATTAGCTCTGCATGCATATCCAAATGGCTAAAATTTTTTAAAATGTTGGGGAAGATATGGAGAAATTGGATTGCTCATACACTGCTCATAGGAGTACAAAATGCTAAGGCCACTTTGGAAAACAATTAGATGTTTCATATAAAATATTCAACTATCATATATGACTCAGCAATTGCATTCTTTAGCATTTACCTCAGAGAAATTAAAACTATATTTACACAAAAATATTCTTAACAGTCTTATCCATAATAAACACGACCTGGTATCAATTCAGATATTCTTCTTTAAGTGAGTGGTTAAACTGTGGTGCATACATACCACAGAAAGTTAATTAGCAATCAAAAGGAACAGACTTGACAAACAGCAACTTCAGTGAATTTTTTTTAAATTTTTATTTATTTTTGAGAGAGAGACAGGCAAAGTACAAGCGGGGGAAGGACAGAGAGAGAGGGAGACACAGAATATGAAGCAGACTCCAGGTTCTGAGCTGTTAGCACAGAACTTGACATGGGGCTTGAACCCATGAACGGGCTTTGGATCATGACCTGAGCCGAAGTCGAAGGCTTAACTGACTGAGCCACCCAGGTGCCCCAATAACTTGAGTGAATCTTAGGGGAATTATACAGAAAGAAAAAAACAATATCAATAAGTTATATACTCCATGATTTTATTTATATAACATTCTTGAAATGACAAAATTATTTAGATGGAAAACAGATTAATGGTTACTAAGGATCAGATAAGGCATTGAGATTGGGGAAAGAAGGTGGTTGTTATCATAAAAGGGCAGCAAGAAGGATCCCTGTTATGATAGTGCTGTGTTTTGTTTTAAATATGGTGGTAGAAACACAAACCTGAAAATGTGATACAATTATATAAAACTACATAGACACATGTATGCGTATGCATACACACACAAGTACATTTAAAGCTGGTGAAATCTGAATAACATTTATGGGTCATATCACTGTCAATTTCCTGATTCTAATGTTGCATCGTAATTATCATTGGGGGAAATTGGCTAAAGGGAACTTGGGATATCTCTATTTACTTCTTATAACTTTATGTGAATCTATACCTCAAAATAAATAGTTTAATTAAATAATAGCTAAGTGTATAATTATCATAAGACTGATTAATTTCACCTTTACCCATGAAAAGAATAATATATGTCCATGGAAAGATCTGTACACAAATGTCCATAATAGTAATATTGATAATTGTGAAAATCTGGAACTGATCCAAATGCCCACCAACAGATGAATGGATAAATACATCGTGGTATATCCATACAATGGAATTCTGTCTGGCAATAAAAAGAACAAATTACTGGTACACAAATAACATGGATGAATTTCAAAAACATGTTGAGGAAAAGAAGCCAGATACGAGAGAGCAATTATTGTATGACTCCATTAATATGCATTTGTGGAACAGGGAACACTAATCTATGTTATCAGAATGATCAGTGGGCCTGATCCCAAGGTGGGAGTTTGAGTGCTCCTGGTCAGAAGAGGACTTTTTGAAAAGTGATAAAATGTTCTATATTTTGATTATAGTGATGATTATAAGGATGTATACATTAATCAAATTATAGGATTAAAATCATGCATTTTATTTTATGTGAAAGATACCTCAGAAAAGGGGATTTAAAAGAAAACACATCCTTGTGAGATAAATCATATGAAGTTGGGTATTTATTTCATATAAAGAAAGTCTCTCAGATAAGGTGACATTTGTCCAGAGACATGACATTAATGAGAGCGATAAAATATCTTAGTGAGAAATGTTGTGTGCAGCAAAAACAGAAAATACACATCCCTCACAAGAGATTTAGCTTCATGTATTTGCATATCTCTGAGGCCAGTGTGGCTGGGGTGAGTGGTAAGAAACAAGGTCATTTTTCTAAGTGCAAGACAGAAGGGGGCAGGGGTGGGCACATAGCATTCAAAGTCATTTAGCCTGTGATTGTGAGTGAAATGGTCAGCCTTTAGACAGCAGAAGAATAACATGCTCTAACTATGTTTTAATGGGGTTACTTTACCTATTGGTAAAGAATAGTGTCTGATCATACCATATGGGAAATTATGTTTTCCTCCTTTTGCGAGATCTTTAATTCAGGTTTCATTTCTGTGAAATGAATATTTGTTCAAGTCCCAGGAATCAACTTGACACTCAAGATGTTCTCCTGTGAGTTCATTTCAGAGCTTATCTGTCTACTAAAATAAAATAGGATCTCTAAACTTTTCTATTCCCTTGACATTTAAGAGATAAAAGGTTATTTTTTATAGATATTCCAAAACCAATAACATAAATAATTACAAAAATGTTAGGATAAAAAATATCTAAGTAACTGCATCATGGTGTAAAAATGCCAAAAATGACTTCAAAATGATTACGTATGATACACATTGGAGGGAATTTGTTGGTGCTTCTAAAAATGATTTTTTTTTTTGTATGTGAGTAAAAATAGCACAGACGCAAGAACAGCCATGTGGTGCCATCAGAGAACATAAGTCACATAACATGAGATTAACAAAACAGTATCAAGTCAATACAAATCAGTTAATTTTGCTAATGACTGCCATGCATGGTAAAAATAGACAGTGAGCTCTATTCTGGCATAATTAACAAGCACATGTCTACTATGGAGCATAGAAATTATAGTAAATAGCAAATGGGGAAAGAAAAAGAAGAGTGAGAATGAGGAGGCAGAAACAACTGGAGCAGTTGCTCATATGCAGCGATGCAGCGCCTAGCATTTAGCTCATCTGTAACATAGCGTCTGGCAGTGTGATGGCAGAAAATCTGCAAAAATCACGACTTGATGCACATGACCCAGCAGGGTCCAGAATCAGGTCACAACGATCCCAAACACCTTTCTAAGAAAAAGAATCAACTTATTGACAACTGTTCCAGAAAAGTGTGAACCAGATGGTTATTAGAGAGTCAGTTTATATATGTTCCGTCTTGCCTTAAGAGACCTAATTTTGCTTCTTGGTCTTTTATGAAAAACTTGAGTTCCTTCTTTGAAAAAATGTTGAAACAAATAACTTTGGTGTTGTTTTCAAGAAAAAAAAATGAGTGCTTATCTGAATTAGGTGTATTCTTTCTCTCTCTCTTTTTCCAAATTGGAATTGATATAATGATGTGGTTGTCCATTCTGGAAAAATGTCCTTTTTCAACCAGTTTATCTCTCACCGATCTCATCATCTGTAGCATAAAACTACATAGCTATTTCATCCATTATTGAGGTAGTAGTGTTCGGATGAAAAATAAAAATTTATCAACATCCTCTGTGACTGCCTCAAAGATTTTCATGCAAGTGCACATTCATTTAGAAACATTTCCTCACAGCCTACTGTGGGCAGGGGATACGGGGACAGATAAAACCAAGTTTCTGCCATTCGCTTAATAATCCATTGTGGAGGATAGCATATAAATACAGAATTAAAATATTTAAAGGAGTTTAAAATTTACTGAACCCCAAGACACTTTTCTGGAACCCTCAGACTAGGTGATTTATCTTGTTATACACCACTAGAGTACCTTACACTTATCCTTATATAATTGAAATTCATTCGTTCATTCATTCATTCATTCATTCATGTAATAAGTTATTTTTGACTGCCATTTAGCATCTGCATGATATTGTTCAAGGTTGTGTGTGATGTCCAGAATAATAAACAAATTCACTATCTTCATTGAGCTTATATTAGTTGTTGAAGAGAGAAAAACAATAAACAGATACTATAATCTTTTTTTTGTTTTGTTTTAAAACGAGTTCTGGTCAGTTTTATTAAAGAAAAATTTTGTGTGATTTACTTTTCGTCAGTCTGTTCTGGCATGCTTCGAATGATATCAAAATCATCTGGGTCAATAATAGCCAATGTGCACACTCTGCAGTATTTCCCACATGCTGTGCCCAATGCAGTATTATTGCCACTGTAGTGATGGACACCAGCTTTGGCCCACATGGCATAATATTCTATTTCAGATTTCCTCAAGGCTGGGCAGTTGGCGGGTATGAGCAGTTTCACTTTGCCATGTCTGATAATTTTCAGCATCTGCTTGTACCCTAACAAGTACTTTCCACTTTTTGTAACAAGTTGGAGCCTAGAGTTTATGGACTCCAGTGACTTTTTCCTCATTTTTGCAGCCACCGTCTTCCTGCATTTGGTGCAGGATGGACCCAACCAAAAGCAGCTGCCAAGATGTTCGGGAGATAATATAGATAATATAATCTTAAGTAATGCTAGTTATTAAGAAGAAAAACGGCACAGTACTTGGGTAGCTCAGTCAGTTAAAATGTCTGACTCTTGATTTCTTTGGCTCAGGTCATGATCTCCTGGTTTGTGAAATCGAGCCCCATGTTGGGCTCGGTGCTGACAGTGTGGAGCCTGCTTCGGATTCTCTTTGTCTTTCTCTCTTTTTGCCCCTCCCCTGCTTGTGCTTGCAACCCCCCCTCAAATAAATAAAATTTCCAAAAAAAGAAAAATAGAGGGGCAAATTGTTACAGAGTAATAGAATAAAGATTGTTGTATAGTCATATTACAAAAGGCCTCTTAAAGGAGGTGATATTTTTTAGAGACCTAAATAAAATTTTGTCAGTGTTCTATTACTGCTATAACAAAATACCACAAATCCAGTGGCCTAAAACAATATGGAACCTCACAGTCCTGTAGGTCAGAAGTCTGACATACATGTCATTGGGATAAAATTAGTGTCAGGTGAGTTGCATACCTCTGAAGACCCCACAGAGAAATTTGTTTCCCTATTTTTTTCTCCAGATACTAGAGGCTGTCCACATTTTTAGCTCAGGGCTCCTTTCTTCTATCTTCAAAGTGAATGGATCAAGTGTTACCACATCACGTTTTTCTTTTCTTTTCTTTTTTTTTTACAAATAGTTTATTGTCAAATTAGTTTCCACATAACACTCAGTGCTCATCCCCAAAGTGCCCTCCTCCATGCCCCCCTCCCCCCCACATCCATCAGTCCTCAGTTTTTGTCAGCATTCAAGAGTCTCTCATGGTTTGCCTCTCTCCCTTTCCCCCACCATCTCCCCCCTTCTTCTCCCCCTTGGTCCTCCGTCAAGTTCCTCCTAATCCTCCTATACGTGCAAACATATGATATTTGTCCTTCTCTGCCTGACTTATTTCGCTCAGCATAACACCCTCAAGGTCCATCCATGTTGCTACACATGGTCAGATTTCATTGTTTCTCATTGCCATGTAGTATTCCATGGTATAGATAAACCACATCTTCTTGATCCATTCTTCTGTTGATGGACACTTAGGCTCTTTCCATGTTTTAGCTATTGTGGAGAGTGCTGCTATGAACATTGGGGTTCATGTGCTCCTATGCCTCAGCATTTCTGTATCCCTTGGGTAAATTCCTAGCAGTGCTATTGCTGGGTCATAGGGGAGTTCTAGTGTTAGTTTCCTGAGGAACCTCCACAGTGTTTTCCAGAGGGGCTGTACCAGTTTACATTCCCACCAACAGTGTAGGAGGGTGCCCGTTTCTCCACATCCTCGCCAGCATCTAGAGTTCTCTGATTTGCTCATTTTAGCCACTCTGACTGGTGTGAGGTGGTATCTCAGTGTGGTTTTGATTTGTATTTCCCTGATGAGGAGGGATGCTGAGCATCGTTTCATGTGTCTGTTGGCCATCTGGATGTCCTCTTTGGAGAAGTGTCTGTTCATGTCTTCTGCCCATTTCTTCACTGGGTTGTTTGTTTTTCAGGCGTGTAGTTTGGTGAGTTCCTTATAGATTCTGGATATTAACCCTTTATCTGATATGTCATTTGCAACTATCTTTTCCCATTCCGTTGGTTGCCTATTAATTTTCTGGGTTGTTTCCTTGGCTGACATCACGTTTTTCTTACCTTCCTCCGGCATCCTATCTTACTATGATGAACTCTCCATCTCAAGTCCTTTAATACTACTCAGATTTTCAAAGCTCCTTTTGCCCTGCATCATAATGTATCCGCAGGATCCAGGGATCAGGACATGGACATCTTTTAAGATGGGGTGCATTATTATGCTTACCACAGAAGTAAGTGTTGTATGTAAATATTTAGAGAAAGAGCATGCAAGGAAGAAGTAATAGGTGAGTGCAGAGACACTGAATTGGAAATGAGACTGATGTGTTTGTGTCTGTGAGACCAGTATGTCTGGTGTGGGTGGAAAGACATAGCAGCAAGTGACAATGTCAGTGGATTAAGCAGGGCCCAGGGAAAGTATGGCCTTGAAGTCATGGTAATATTACTTTTGTTTTGATTATTATAACCAAATCACAAGAAGGTTTTGGAAGGGATGATGAAATAACCTGTTAATTTTGTTCCATGTGTGTGGTCACCACTAGAATATGAGCATTTTGAGGATAGGGACCATGTTTATCACATACGCCGGTGTGCCTTTCATATCTGACCTAGTTTCTGACTCAGAGTAAGCCCACAATAAGCATAATTTAGCCAATTTATGAATGAATGATATATGTTGACCACAGTGAGTAATTGATAAATTTCTCCGTGCCTCTCTTCTGTCTACCTTCCTATATTCCCCTCCTCCTTTCTTCTCTCCATTTCTCCCTTCCGTCCTTTGGACCTCCCTTTCTTTCACTGTATTAAAAATCTGGGTGCTTTGAACTCTTAAAATCAAATGCCTAGGGAAGTAGAGAATGTGATGTCTGTAGGATAAAAGCATTCTTAGCTGAAAATAAGAAAAGATTCATCTTATTGCCAAGAAATCAGCTCTAGTCTGATGACTCTTCATGATGCATGTCTTGCCAGATTAAAGATTATGATTTGGCCAGAGGAAGTACTGCAGAAACTAGATACAGAAAATTCTTCTCTATCCTTTTGATCTACTTCCATACAGTTTGTAGAAGCCACACTTGGATTGATTGCTTCCTGAGAATTTCCAATTTTATCAGATGGGCCTATACCCTGGAGTCCTTGTCAGGCTTGTCAAGACCACACATCAAATATGAAGACAAAGTTACTACTTATCTCTTCCGATTTTTCCATAAGCCATGTCAAAGCTAGACATAAAGTCTCCTTACGTATTCAACTTTTACTAACAGTAACCAAATGACTATTATGTGGCAATTAACTTTGCTTCTCTTTGCACATTATTTCATCTAATTCCCACATTGACCTATTAGTAGGAGTTAAATACCTATTTTGCCCATTTGGGGAAATCAGGTGTAAAAGGTTAATAAAATAGGATGTACAAAGGTGTGTGTAATAATCTAATGTTTATCTAACAAAGGGAAGAACACAAATGTAAGTCTCTCTGTGGAGCAGATATTACCTTTTCTTAAAGAATAAAAATACAAAGTCAAAATGAGAAATAGTTTTCTATTGGGGGAAAAATAGTTTCATATTGGAGGAATAAATGGATAGTAAGTCTTGAAAGAAAGCCAGACTTCTCTGAGTTTAACTGATTTGTAGACTTGACTCTGGAACCATATCTATGTTTTGAATAATTTGACAACAAAATTATGTATACAAGCAATTCATAAAATGAAACTCCAGTGAACTAAACAAGCCTATCATTCAATTTGGCGGCATGACCACACAGAGAGAAGTTATTTCAAATGATTTTAAGATATGCAATTTACCTGTACATCCTAAGAATGGAAACAGTAAAATAAAAATTCTTAAACTCTTTTCAGTAATTATATTACAGGTGTGATGTTAGTGTTATTATTCTGAGACTATTGTGTGTATTTGATAGAACAAAATGAATGAATCATGTTGCCGAGTTCTTAGATTTCTCAGCCTGAAGTGAGGTATTAGAGGATGGTGAGTTTGCGCTCCTGAATTTGAATTGGAATTCTCAGTATGAGCTCAGGTTTTAAAAAACAAACAAAAAAGTTACAGATTCTGTGTCCAAAAAAAAAAAAAAAAATCAAGTCATTTTGGCTTCTAGTAAGTGCTTAATAAAGGCGAGCTATTATTATCCTCTCAGTTTTGAGTGTATTACTAAAATATCCTACTGAGAAAAAGCAGCTAAGATTCAAGCTGGAAAAACATCATTTATGCTTAAATGCTTTGCTTATGAGTCCTCTAACATGCAGTGCATTTACAGTTCTAGACAGAAACAGTGATGGTGATGGAAAGAATGGGTCCCCTCCTGACCTGTCCCAGCCAAGGCTGGAGGGTCAATGAGGTTAGTCAGGAAATACCATTTTAAGTAATAATTTCCATATCCATCTATATCTAGTTTTTGCAAGATCTATCAGCAAATAGTGCTTCTTTAAGTATCCCTTCCATTGCTGAGATGGAAGCAGCCATGCAAAGTTCCATGTCTACACTGAGGTTTGCAGGAGAGAGGAAAATAAAGGTAGTTTCTTAAGGTTGCCATTAAGGTAGTCTCAACTTGTTTAGCCGCACTCCTGGTCAGACCACACAATGAGCATCGAATAATGGCATTATCTTGGGACCACATTTTTCTTCTTCCTGTGGGGCTTTGACCCTGGCCTCAATCTTACCTATATTTATTCTCTTGTCTCTGAAATCCTAATTTTAATCTTGCCCTTATACAATAAATTTGGCATTGCATTTGATGCCCCTGATAACTTGATCTCAGCAGTTCCTGGGGATTTTTCTGGATCTTTTTGATCTCCAGTTTTTATTGTTTCTTTGGGGCATGTGTCTATTTCTATCAGTGACCATTTTGTCAGTTCATTCAAATATGTTGAAATGTCTGTTTACCGTTAGACAATTCTAAAGTAGCCACATTAAAACTTTTGGCAAGTGTATGGATGTGTTGGTATAAATGCACACATGTATGTGTATGCATGTGAATATGGGCACTGTGTATGAGAGTGTGTAGGGGAGACTAGGCGGAAAGATGAGTCCACACTAGAAACATATTGGCATTAATTCTAACCCTGATGCTATCCATATGCATATCCATTTAATCAAGTCACTGGTTTCTCACTTTTTCACTTTTAAAATGTTTACTATGTACTAGAAAGAGGGTAAGATGGTTAACAGAATGACTAACATTTAGTATTTTCCCTTAACAACTCAGATTCTGTGTACTCTGATGGGAAATAATAGTGTATATTCATAGTCATGGTGAGAAGTAGTATTTACTTAGTGCTCATTATGTGACAGGGACAAAAGCCTGTACTCATTATCTAATTTAAACAGCATAATAACCCAATGAGATATATCTTATTAATTTTCATGTATTGTAGACTGAAACTTAGAGCATTTAATGACTTCCCCCAAGGTCGCATATGTGTGACATATGTGTAGCAGGGCAAACTCAGGACTCTGACACCGTTGCTTAAGTCTACAACATCATTCCATACTGGCCTCCCCATGCATGTAACGGACAGAGCACTAGAGTACCAGAGCCTATAGAACCTGAAGAAAGTAGTTCTTTCAGAGGAAGGTTAGGGGACACTTGAACTTGGCATGAAGGTGTAGGAGACTGCCATCCAAAAAAAGGAGTAAGTAGATCATGAGACCTAGGCATAGAAAACAGAAAGGATAGTTCAGAGCCAGATGAGTTTAATGTGGCTGGACTTTAGGACACTCAGTCTTGGCTGGAGAGTGAGAAGAAAGGACACTAGACACCAGGCAAGAAGTGTCAGACTGGGGGAATGTTACAAAGAGTCCTATAGAGTAGTACTTCTCAAGTCTTAATATGTATACGAGTCATCTAAGCTTCTGGTTCTGCAGAAGGCCATAATTACAAAAGTCTGGAGAAGCACCTGATATTCTGAATTTCTAGCAGACTCCTCGGTGGTACTGTTGATCTTTGAATAGAAAGATTGTCTATGATACAAATAAGTGTAGATTTTTATCCAGCAGGACTTACAGAGGTGCTATTGAATTCTTATGGGTGAGGAAAAAATATGGTCAGATTTGCATTTCAAAAAAATAATTTTTGAAGTGCTCTGGAGGATGACTTTCCTATCTCCCAGACAGTGATGTGTAGGACCAAATAAGATAAATTAGGTTTTGAAAGTATTCATTGCTAAGGTGCATTAGGTATTACCAGCTACAGTACCCACCCTTCCTTGATATCTTATCTTTTAGACACAGTCTGAAAATGAAACAAGATAAGCACTCAATGACTCTAAATAAAATTTCAGATGTTAAATTGATTCATACTTTTGTATGATTGTTTTAGCTGTGTGTAAGCATGATTGGATGATTTTCTGCATTGATAGAGGTCTACTATTTGTTTTCCAAATGGGAAAAATTTAGGCTTATGAAGGAAAAGAAGGCTGTGGTGTTTGCCAAATGGTTTAGACACAGCAAGCAGAGACTTAACCACTCAGCAGGGTCTCCATCCAATAACTGTGCCTGCTGTGTGTGTGTATGTCCTGCACTTCAAAGGAGCCAAATGTGAACAAGGGCCCTTGAGATTCATAATCAGTAACTCCTCCAGCCCTTACAGAGATATGCACCATTTGGTTCAAAATCATAGCAGTAGCACAGTTGTAAAAGGACAGGATATTTCTTTTCCCAAAGGGTGGTGAGTCAAAGAAACATGTATTAATTATTATTGGCAAGCATATAAGTAAGCCCTCTCATTAAGACCTAAAAAGGACTTTAGAAATACATTACTGCCGCTGTTTACAAATTGGTCACTTGAAGAACACATGAAAATATTTGCTCCAAATCACAGATTTTAGCATGGAGAGTTGTCTATAAAAGACTACTCTATACTTCTAGGAATCTAGCTTCCTTGAGAATAGGTGTAACACTGGTTTTTCCTAAGATACCAAATGCTGAATGGATGCTTTCGCTTTGGTGTCTCTTCAATGCAGTCATGTTCTCATGCTTTCATGACCTGAATTTAACTCATTAGGTTTCTCATTACACAAAACCAAACATGTTCCCCTTTTCTCATTCTCTCCCTCTGATTGC